CTGAGCAAAGCAAGGCCCAACGTAATGGGAAGGCAACGTGGCTCAAGGTATCCTGGACTGGGCTAAGGAAACCCGGAATCACTAACCTGCCAGGGCCAGCTGAATGGTCTTGCATCTTCTCCTCCAACCACTCTGGTCAAGAGAGGTGGGTAGGCGGGATTCCCACAACTGAGGGCTGCAAGGGACACAAGATGGGATCCACGTTAAAAATCAGAACAGATCAAGCCACCAACCAAAACTGACCTGATCTTTGTGTAACACATGGTTGAACTGCTCTTCTGTAGTGTCAGGGCCCGATCTGGTGACCTCTCTATCGCTAGAGATGTTTCTAAGCCATAGTCTATGATGCCCCTTACACTGTGCCCATCCCTCTGATATCTGAGCACCTCCAGGCTGCTGGTCAGTGTCAGGACCACAGGCTCAAGCAAATCTGTGGTTGGTAAAACAGATGAAAACCTACGTCTCGGCGGGATACATACCCCCAGCGGCCAGCGTCAGGGTAGCGAACAGGATACAGATCATGGTGCCGTGTAGCTGTGTCAGGAGCAGCGCCTCAACTGAGCCCTCTTATATGGCTGTAGCGCTTATCTCTGGAGATACGGCCTGGGGGCGGGGGCGTGCGGCTCAGTGACCAGTGGGAAGGTTTTGCAACCATGGGACATTTTCCTGTGTGCGCAAATGCTAAAAAAAGCTGGACCTTGAGATGCAGGCTTCATCTCTGCCTTGTGTGGGGAGAGCTCCGTGAGCTGGAGTTTGTTTGTTGCAGCTGTTCGCTCCCCCACTACCTTGAGTCCTGGTCACAAACATGTGGATGGAAAGGAAAATTACCTGAATTTTGGGGGTGTAAATCTCCCTCCAGCAATTCATGGGGGAACTCCTAGTCCACAAGGTCCTCCAGGAGCCTCTGGTGTTGCAATGGAAGGATCAGGCTCAGGGCAAAGCTGTCAGGGCCTGGGTTTGAGGGGTAGATGGGCGGGGGGTGGACAGGGGTGAGGAAGGACATTTGGGCATGTGTCCAAAGAGGTAAAGGCTTGGGATGGGGCTGCATTGATGGGACGGGCATTGGAATATTCTTAGCCCCTTGCCTAAGTGGCCTTTTTTCAGGGGGGTGAGATGGGGAGACCAGTGGGCCCTTGGGAGCAATAATTAGAGCCCCCAGCCCCCAAAATATAAAGACCCAAAGACAATTCCCTTCCCCCTCCCCTCACATCTCCTTCAGCCCCCAAAGTAATTGAGAAGCTAGAAACTGTATATGTAAGAACTTTTCCACTGCCCTGGTAACGCTCTTCCTGCTGGAAACTCACCAGGTGGCCGCGTAT